ACATATATCATTTGGCAAGCATTTTACCAAACGGGTAACCTTCCAACTGGTGAGAACATGACGGGATAATTTTTTTTCTTTTTTCTTTTATAGATAAGAAAATGGTAATAAATGTTCTGCCGTTCCATTTCGGTTAGTTTACACCATTATGCAGTACTACACTGATGAGAAGAGAAAAGAAAAGAAAAAAAAAAAGAGGTACTTCGGTTCTTCCATTCATTATAGCCATTTGCTTCTTTTAGCCCATCTGCGCATGGTGGCCAGGGGAGAGGCTTACCATTCTTCTTGCATATCGCTTTATTTATTGCCATTATTTCCGTTGTTAGCGGGCACGCCTCCCTCACATAGCCGTTTACTCGACAATTACGTACCTTTCGTTAGGACAGCGGTATCTATCATGCCCGTGGTATGCCATTCAGCTGGGCACTCACCCTTTTCTCGTGTTACATGTTCGTCTGTGAAACAACTCACCATGTGTTTGCAGTGAGGAGTGTAAGCGTCGGTTGTGGGGTTAGAAGTAGGAGTGGCCGTTGCCAGATTAGAAGTGCATGTGGCGGTTGCCCGGTTAGAAGTGCACGTGGTGACTGGGTATTTTCCTTCCTGCAGCCGAGTGGATGCGATTCGGGGAGGGGGAGGCGCGACACCAAGCTGGGGGCGTACAATTTTCGGGCGATCGAGCGTAAGTGGCAAGTCGTGTGGAATTCGAAGCGGCTTCTGGATAGGGACTTCGCGCGTTTCAACAGGCGTTCTCGGGGAAGCAGCAAATTTGAGGGAGGCGATGGAAACAGGGAAGGTGAGACACGCGATGGAAGCTATGATAGGGGCAGATATGAATGGGATCAGCGGGGGAAACTCGCCAGGCGGAAGTTCTACATCCTGGACATGTTCCCCTACCCGTCGGCGCAGGGCCTGCACATGGGGCACATCTTGTGCTTCACCATAACGGATGTTCTGGCGAAGTTCAAGCGAATGACAAACCACTGCGTCTTCCACCCCATCGGATGGGATAGCTTCGGACTGCCCTGCGATAGGATGTCCATGAAGCTGAAAGTGGACCCCAGAAAAATCATCCAAAGGAATATAGTCAATTTTAAAAAGCAGCTACTGAAGATGGGCTTCCTCTTCAACTGGGGACACGAAATTAACACATCGGATGAAAGATTTTACAAGTGGACACAATGGATCGTCATTCAAATGTATTTAAGAGGCCTGGGTTATAAAAAAACGTCTTATGTTAATTGGTCTAACGAAATTAAGTGTGTAATCTCAAATGACGAGATGAAGAATGAAGCAAACGTGAAAGGATTAAAAGTAACAAAAAGGAAGCTGCTGCAGTGGTATCTTAGGATCACGACGTACGCCACGAGACTCATTGAAGATCTGAAGGACATCGATTGGCCGGAGAAGATCAAACAAATGCAAATTAACTGGGTAGGAAAGAAAACAGGCATCATCCTAAAGGCTAGAGTTATCCCTATCGGTGAGTGGACAACTGGGGACCTCTTTTGCACTCCTTCGGATTGTTTCCCTTCACATGTTCTTTACGATAGCATTTACGCCAATGATGGGATGACTCTCCTTTTTAATTATTTATACCATGGGGAAGGGGCTACTTACGACTTCTTCGATTCGTTTGTTCGATCCGGGGCGGAAAAGTACCCCATTCCAGCGGGCGACAAGAAAATGGAACGCCTCCTCCACGACGAGGACGCTGTGCAAAATGCGCTAAGGGGGATCAAGCCAAGGGAACATACAGTGGGGTTGCCGCCAAACAGGAGGGAGAAAAAACATATGCTCACGTTCGACAAGGATAGCAAAGATAATGAAGGCGATTCCTACGTGAACATATTTCTAAACGAAAAGGAGGCCATCTTCCAAGGGGACAAATTATTAGTCAGTGTCAATCACCCGAACATCGATCAGATAGTGAATAGGAACGAATCTTTACTAACCTTCGTGAACACAGCAGTTAGGCAGAACGACACGGAGAGGTTAACGAATGAACGGATCCTCTTCACAGGCTCTGTTATTTATATTCCCATAATAGGGAAGTACATCCCTATATACGTTTGTACCTATATATTAGAGAACAATGGGCATTTGCTATTCGTTAAAAGGGGGAGCAGAGAGCAAGTGGAAGAAGCTTCAAAAGGGGAAGACTTCCTTCACACGTTGTTGTCCTCATCCAAGTATAGCAAAAGGTACGTTGTGTACAATGTGAAGGATTGGTTATTTTCGAGGCAGAGGTACTGGGGCGAGCCCTTTCCTTTTCTCTTCCCAGTGAAAAGCAAAGAACAGAGGGGACAGCCAAATGGGAAGGAGTCTCCCCCCGAGGGAGACAACACACCCGATGTAAACAACCAACTGAAGAGATACCCAAATGTGGAGATTAGAAAGGTGTCCAATTCGCCCCTTAGTGAGATCTACATAGACGACATCCCTGTGCATTTACCAAAGTTCCACAAAAGAATATACGAATTGGGTTCGAATACACACAATGAAGGATCTCCCTCCGTTTTGTCCAGATTTAAAAAGTGGGTTTTCCAAAGGAGAGAAAACACCCTCTATAAGAGAGAATGTGACATCATGCCCCAGTGGGCAGGTTCCAGCTGGTATTACTTAAGATACTTGGACTCAAAGAATACAAATCGCATTTTTAACAAAGAGATGGTAGATTTGTGGATGCCTGTGGATCTATACGTCGGGGGAAGTGAGCATGCTGTGTTGCATCTTCTCTACGCCAGGTTCTTTCACAAATTTCTGTATGACCTTAAGCTGGTTAGCCATAAGGAGCCCTTCCAGAAGCTCTTCAACCAGGGCCTCCTATTGAGCGCCACTTCGTTCTTTGCCTACACGACGTTGGGCGGGAAGTTGGTTAGTTATGCCGCGGTGAGGGGGGAAGAGGCAGACGGGAATAATACCGAGCAGGATGGGGGGACACTTCAGGGGGAGGGCTCTTTCCAGGAAAGCAGCACGAAGAGTACCCCTGGGGAAGATGCCCTCACGGGTGGCAGTAGCGAACAGCCCTTATCCGATCATCCGTTCGTATCTGAAAGGCCAAATTGTGCCACTGAAACGGCGTTGCGAGGAATGGTACCAAGCACAGATGGGAAGTATAGAAAGTATCAAATTCCAGAGGAGCTGGTAATGCAAAGAGAGGGAAAATATTATTTGAAGGACGCCCCCCACGTGGAAGTAAAAGCCAACTATGAGAAGATGTCCAAGTCTAAAGGAAACACAGTCAACCCGAACGATATCGTGAAAAAGTATGGGTCCGATTGTCTCCGACTGTACATCCTATTCTTAGGACCTATAGATCAGAACAAGAGATGGGACCTCAAAGGAATAAAAGGGACCTTTAAATTCTTAACCAATTTGTACACCCTGTTTGTGAAGGATGTAAAAGTCCGTCCCTTGGGGGGGAACAAGAGACAAGGAGAGTGTAGCGCCACTACGCAGATTGACTTAGGAAGAGTTCCCCACAAAGGTGGCGATAATTTTGTGGAATCTCCCCGCGACAGTACAAGCGACCATATAATTTGCACCAAGTGCAGGAAAAAAAAACGAAACAAGCAGATGATTCTCCAATTTGAGATGATTAAAAGTGGAGGGAGCGACGATGAAAGAGAATTCTACCCCGGAAAGAAAAAAGGAGCAATAAAACGTAATATGAACTTGCTATGGAGTCAAGACCACTCATGCAAAGAGCTATCAGACGTGATTGTAAAAAAAAAGGGACATGAAATTGAACGGGGCAAGAAAGAAAGGGCAAATTTTTACATTAACAAAATAACTGGATGTTTAAAGAGCATGAAGCTGAACACAGCTGTCTCCTTCTTCATGATGTTCTTTAACGAAATTAAAAAGTGGGACTACATCCCGTTGAAGATCTTTCTGATCCTTGTTAAGTTGCTGTTCCCCTTCTGTCCTCACATCTGCGAGGAATTCTGGTTTTTCTACTTGAAGAAATACAAACCGGATAGAAAGCATATTTGTTACTTCTGCAATTCTAGCCTCATGTACTTCGCACGCTGGCCATCCTTGTTCCGGTTGGAGGCGCCACGGGTGGGAAGGATCTCCATCCGGCTGAATAACCGCCACGTAACCTTCATGGAGGTTACGTCGGGAAGCGGTTTGGGGGAGTTGCAAAGTTTAGAGAGTTGTCGGCATTCGGAACGCCCCACAGATGACGAACCGTCGAAACGGTCACAAAGCATCATTCGTGAGGCCACAAATAGGATAACGGATCGAATCGAAAAAGAGAAGAAAAGGGGAAAACGACTCGTCAATGTTGTGTATATTCCGAACAGAGTCGTAAATTTTGTCTTCAAATGAGGAACGGCAGATGTGGGAAGCAGTACATATCGGGCAAGGGGGACATCGAAGAGGTGTGCTCGCTTCGGCTCTGCGAAGAAAGGATAGAGTTTTCCGCTCGCTTCCCCCCTTGGCAGGACTCCTCAACAAAGCACTATGTACCACCCCCTACCTCGGATGTCTCCTCGAGTGTCTCCTCGGGGACCTCCTCGAGTTCCTCCCCCGATTTTGTTTTTGTTGCCTTTTTTTTTGTAATTCTATTGAGTTTCACCTCTGCCTCTTTCAGCTGCCTTTCGAGAGTCCTCTCTGTGCCACTTTCATTGTACACAGATTTTTTTAAAGATTCCATTTGGTTCTTTATAGCTTGGCATATTAACTCTAGCAACTCTAATTCTGTTTTTTTTATAAAATTGTTGTAACATGGACACGATTCTTTGTCTCTTAAGTCATATGCCTTTCCAGTTGCGTCTCGAAACACCCCCGGGAAGGCAGAGATTTCATATACCTTTCTAAATCCTTCTTTGTTAATGTCTTCTTCATCTTCGTACTCTTCCAGGGGGACTAACCTCAGCTTCCTTTTGGTTAACTCTGGCTCATAATTGAAGTCAGGCGTTGGCCAGTTCGGTAGGACATACCACCAGCGAATGAGTAGCTGTGCGACGAGCTTTTCCTTTGGGGTCCGATTGTGCGGGTCAAACGTGCCTATAACAATGGAATCTGTTTCGATGTCGTTGCTTTGACTCAGGCTGTTTTCGAGGTCGTCACTACTGTGCCTGCGTTTTAGTTTTTGTTTATATTTGCGGGTGACGTGGTCTCTCCTTTTGGCGCGGTCACTCCGTTTGTTGCCTTTCTTTATCCTTTTCGCGACTACGCCCTTTTGTCGCCCCTCCTTGGTGCCCGTTTTCTTCGCAGCTTTGGTGCTTTTTTTTTTTTTTTTGCCTTTATCTTTTTTTGATTTTTTTTTTTTCAGAGCGCTTCCCTTCCCGTTTGGGGCAGCGTGCGTTTTAGACGATGTATGCGTTTTAGACGATGCATGAACATTTGAAGATACCTTCTCTTTCGAAGGCGCATTCTTTTTCTTTGTCGTTGTACTACTTTTAACTATTACTACATTTGCGCTGCCTTTACCTTTCCCTATCAGCTGCTTGGTCTCATTGTTATGTACGCCGTTATTCTGAGCCCTGCCACTGTCACCAGTGCTGGAGATTGTCTGCACCAGCCCGCCGTGACTATTAGTACTACTGCCTAGCGCCCTTTGGGGCGAATTCGTTTGATTTTTTAGTTTACTTTTTACAAGGATGGGTTCTTCCGAATCGCAGCTGGATGTGCTGTCGTCGTCTGCTGAAGAGTCACTTCCTTCCCCTTCGCCATCACTGATTCTTGTCTTTCTGGTGACCTTTTCATTTAAACGGCGCGCAGCGTCTTTTTTTGAAGTCTGCTGGCTTTTACTGCTTTGGAACTCGTCACTACCAGCGTTGCTTCTAATAAGGTTGATTAAATATTCGTCATCGCTACTTGCATCTGACTCAGGATCGGCGTCCTTGTTTTTGTTTGAACTTTTCATGTCCCCATTGATGCGGGAACGTTTAATATTTTTTACTTTCTCTGCCCCTTCGTGTGTCTGGCGCTGCTTTAGAATTGCGCCACCAATTTTGGCGACAGCGTCCCCGCCACTTGTTCCCGTCGTGTCTCCCATTTTGACGCGCACTTTTGTGTGATCAATGTTCAGCGTTTTCAGCAGTGGAACGTCGTCCCCCTCGCTGCTTCTGTCGCTCATGATGGTGACGTGCTCTCGAAGCGATTCGAATGGACGTTTTGGGGACTGTCTCTCTCCGCCTTCGTCCAGACTTTCCCCCAAACTTCTACCCCTGCTTCTGTTCCCATGTCCGTCTCCCTTTTGTTTTTCCCTCTCCTCTGCACTTTCTCCGCCACCCTCACTCCCTCTCATGGGGTTTAAGCCTATGTCACTCATCCGCTTGCTCAGATATTTCCTAATTATTTTATCTTCCACGTCCGCGCTGGTACTATCCTTGGGCCCATTGTTACTATCAGGATTATTGGAGCTGGTCGTTTCACCCCCTTCAGACTTATGTCTACTAGTGTCATTCCTCCCTGCGTTCACCCCATCCTCATCATGGGGTATTTTGCTCCTTCCCTCCTTTTCCAGGAAATTGTTTGTCCTATTGGCATCGTAGGAGTGACTTTCCTGTTCGGTGGGATTTTCCAGCGACTCACAAGTTGAGCTTTCGACTTTTTTCATTTTTAACTTGACTTAAACATGCTTCGAATTTTTTGGATAATTTGGTACGCAGGAATGCGGCATGGGTGGGGGAAGTTACGGTGAGGTTGCGGTGAGGTTGCAACGTAGACGCGGGGGAGATGGACAAGCCAAATCTGTATATTCACGCGATGTACCCCTCAGCTGCGGTAACGTTAAAGGGATCGACTTTGAATTTTTCTATGCGCATACAGAGGTTGTGTAACCATTATATCGTGACCACGGCAGAAATACAGCGGGGGATCCCAGTTGGAAAAGTTGTTCCGCCTAGGGTTGTCAAAAAATGCGCATGTAAGAAGAATCAATTCAACATGTAAGAATGAACGGCGTCTCTTTTATGGATTCACTTTTCCGATTTCAAGGGAAAAGGAGGCAAGAGAAAGTGGAGCGGGGGAAAAAAAAAGAAAAAGAACAAATAACAAAAAAAGCAAAAAAGGCAAAGAAGAAAGAAAAAAAAGAACAAAAAGGACAAAGAAAAAGGGGCAGAAAAAAAAGTCAGCGCTTCCCCATACATGCAAAACACCATGGACGCGTTACAAGGAGATGTTTCCTTCTGTTCCTCTTGAGGCCAAAAGTGACGAGTTAAGGCCCAATTGGAAACGGGAGAGAAATAAAAATTGGGAACATATATGCGGATACAAGAGAAAGGAAAAAAAAACTTCAGTTCCTAGGAACAGACCAGCAGATAGGGCCGACAGGGAAACGGTAAAAAACGGGCAGAAAAAGGCAAATTAAGAAAAAGGTAGGGAAATAAAAATCCAAAGGCGAATTCGATCGAAAAGGGAAAGATGATGTTAATTCTGTGCATACAATGAAAAAGAAAAAAAAAAAAGTGAAAGTTTTTTCTTTTTTTTTTCAAAGTGTGGGGAGATACAGGAAGGGAGCAAGAGTGAGTAGAAGGGAGGAACAAAATAATTGCATGAAGGGAAAAGTGAAGCGAGCGCGATGGGATCGTGAGGTAAAGCAAAGCAGAGGCAACCCCTCCGTTAAACAATCCGTCAAATCGAATCTCCCATTCGTTTTCCCACTTTTTCCCTAGCGGGCGAGAATCTCGAATGTGTGTTATACAGTGCCCCTGCGTCTTAGCCGCACATTTTTATTTTCCCCTTTTTGAAAAAAAAAAGAAAAAAAAAACAATTCAAGAAAATCGAGAAATTAAAGAAATCCCTAGTTAAGCAGCTCCAATGTGTACTACGCAATGAGGAGATACTTTCCATTTTTTCCCTTTCATTGGGATTTAAAGAAAAAAAATTGCAATTGTAGTTCCGTCCCGTCTAGGATTCATTCATACACGTCTTTGTGTACGTGCGTAGGTGTGTCCCTACCTATATTCCCCAACGTTACTCACATGTATTTTTATTTTCGTATTGTTTTTCCCGTGCCATCCGATCGACCGGTGGAATGTCCCTTCTAGCAGTGCAGTTTCTACTCAGAATGAATTAAGGCTATTTTTAAAAGAAAAAAATCCCTTAAAAGGTATCGATGAGCTTTTAAGAAGAAAAGCATTCTATGTTTAAACAAAAAAAAAAGTCAGATAAAAAATAGAAAAAAAAATGAAAAATAAATGTCAAAATGAAACAATTCACGAGCTTCAAAAGGAGGAGGTGGCAGGGTCAATGTGAAGAGATACCCACTTAGCACACAAGTGATGCTTAGGCAACATCTGTGGGGGGGGCAAAAATACACCGGGCACCACAGCTCTTTAGTGAAGGTGGGTGCGCATGCATATCTTCCCTATTCCTATAAAATGTTGGGTATTTTCTCGCCACGTCTTTCTCCTGCCAGGGGTGTGAGTGCCACTCCTTAGGTGAACTTACCCTTTACAAAGTCGTCCATGTGAATGCCCTTTTTGCGCCTCGAATCCCATTGATTCTTCCCTCCCGCGTCGGCTTGAAAGGACAGCCCCCTGGAGTATAACGGAGGCAGATCCAGAAACCTCTCAATAACTTTTATCTTACAAATTTGGGTCGTAAGTAATTGAAAAAAGGTGTTCGTGATCAAATAAATGAGTAACCCCGATGGCATGGATTTAAAAAAAAATAAAGATGATATATAAAATAGTCTCATGGCTAGCTTTGACACTTGTTTCATTTTTTTTTGAAATTCGCTCTCATCTCCGGAGAGCGAACTAGACTTGCTATTGCTTAGTGCTTTGTCAATCAATGCTGTTAATTCATTATTTGATAATAGCAGGAGGGAGGACAGCAGAGGTAGTATAAAATACGGGTCAGGTAAAGAAAGACTGTCTAACCATAGGGGAGATTCAAAAGTAAATTCTTTAAACACTTCAGGATAGGATGCCATTTTTTTCATAGAGAAATAAAATATAAAGAATAAAGGGGTTTGAAAAAATGCCATCAGGATAATGGATTTTGGGATTAAAGATATCCCATGAGTATTTCTAATGTTGAGGATTTTTTTTTTAAATTCAAGTGCCATTTTTATATTTCCATCTTGTGCATTACTTTTTAATTTATTTGTTAATTCCTTTATTAGTGGGTTTAATATTTTTTGTTTTCTTCTGTCTCGTTCTGCCGATACTGTTAATGGTAAAATAATCATCCTCATGAATGACGTCGTCGCTACGATCGAAGTCATCCAAGAACAATCGAACATAATTTTTGTGTAATTTAGTAATTCGTAAACGAGTTCGACATACCAGGAAGATTCATAGTTGTCTACATCCTGCTGCATATTAGCTTTGCATTTTTCTATGATGAAATGGGTGTAGGGGATGATTTCATCGTTTGTAACTTCCCCTGGGGGGTCATCCCCCAGTGTCTCTTCATTTTTGTTGCTTTTGACCCATTCGAGGTTTTTTTCTTTCCCCGTATCTTCACTTCCGCATGTTTTTTCCCTATCCGGCGGGGAGGAGGCGACCGATTTGTCTCCTGTGTCCCATTGGCTGTATCCCTTTGGATTGGCTCCATCACAGCTAGCGACGATGTTCGGTAGGTGAATAAAATTTCTAACATGGACAAAATACGCCCACCTCGTAGCAGCACTCACACCTTTTGCTGCTTTCTCGCATGTGCGATTATGCCCATAAGTTATGGCGCAGTCATGTTTCCCTCTTTTGAAAAAGTTGCTACAAAAAAATATATTTTGAGAGCTTCTCTTTAATATTCCATTGTGCAGCTTAATTTGTGAGTGGGTGAAGCTCATATTATTGAAAAGGGGCGAATGGGTAAAGGGTAACGAAGCGGGGAGAAGAGCGTTAAAAAGAAGAAGCTACATACTTGCTCCTTTGCAAATCATGGCAGCTCTGCGCGGAAAAAATGGAAATAGAACAAATATGTTCCCTTTTGAAAAGAAAGGGGATGCTATCGTATATGTATATTTAGGCAGTTCCATTTTATGCATGTTTTTTTTTCTTTACCGACTTGTTCGTACTATTTGGCTGGATTTTTTTTTTTTTTGGCTAATTGCGCATGGAATGAAGAAGTAGCACTGCAAGGTGGGAGTGTTGCGCCTCCTTAAAAATGGAGAAGCACACCTGCACCCTTCGGAGAGGTGTGGAGGGCGCTCCCATTTTGTGAACTTTTCGCACATTTTTCAGCGCACCATGGGGAGGCGAAAGGGAAATATCGGAAACAAGCGCAGGGAAAGGCATTAAAGTTGTCGTAAAAGAGGACCGCCGACCACGAGGGTCTGTGTGTGTACCTCCCCCCAAATTAAGCTTCAATCCGGACGAAGCAAGAAAGATGCGCCCCCATATATGTAGCACAACAGGGAAGTAAAATAATGCACACATTTGGCCAAAAAAAAAAGAAAAAAAAAAAATAATAGCACAACATGGTAACGCCACATTGTGTGGGGTAAAACCCACTGCAGTGCAGAAATTGCTATGTATTGCATTGAATTCCACGCAGATGCATAAAACGTCGCAACAGGCTATTTTAAGGGGCCAAGTCTCTTCTCCCTTAAATGCATGTCGAATGGAGCATCAATTCGCCATAACGATACGCACAATGTGTTGTGAGTGAAAAAGGAGGGGAAAAACAAACTGGGAAGACACTTTTGTAAAAATTAATTTTTTTTTTGAAGAAAAAGGGGAAATGTGGCAAGCACTAATGGGAAACAAATTAAAAAAAGGAGAAATGAAAAAATACATAAAAAAGGTTCCATCCCCGTAATGATCGCTAAAAAGACTACTTCGGTGCGAGCAAAAAGGGTGGACGTAAAACTCGGGAACGAAAATCAAACAAAAAGTGATTCAATATGCCACGTAGGACAAATAGCGGAGAGTGTAATTCCTCCCAAAAAAGGGGCACACGTATGAAGCGCCCCAGCGTATATATGTAAAACATCCAATTCGGTGTGATAGACGTAAGCAACACTGGGCAATCTCGTCTATTTCAAAAGAGCACGCCAAACCTCAGTAAACATCGTTGATGTACAATTTGTTCAGTTCGTACGAAATTGCAGATGGAGGGAAAATTCCAATGTCCGTATAAAAAAGAGTAATAAAATGGTGAGGAAGAAATTCATACAAATTTCTACCTTCGCTAGCTGTATTTTCCGTACAATACGAGTAAAATTCCTGGGCAGAATTTCTTATTTTTTCAATTTTTAAAAATTTATACGCTTCACAAGTGACATAAAATTCTTTTTTATTTGATGAACACAATTGGGCTAGCTGTCTAATACCTTTCTTGTTAATAATTCCTCCATTGTCGATTACGAGTTCTGTTCCTATGACCACAAAATCGATTGTGCTTAATACATCCTTAACATCGTCAAGGTTAATTTTGGTTACTTGAATATGCTCCCTCTGCAGATCTTCAACAAACTTATCGTCGAATTTTTTGTCCTTCTTTAAGTAGTCATTACAGATATGTTCTGTGCAGGTAAAATACACACTCACGTGCTTCATTTGATTCTTTACAACATTGAGTAGCAAGCTTTTTACGCATTCGGAGTTGCTGTACGTTAGGATGATCGTCTTTTTATTGGTGAACATGATATTGCTGCTATTCCCTATGGCCCTTAAACTCTGTTTAACGTTTTCTGAGAATTCCTGGGCGCTGCTGGAGATGAGGTTCTTCAGGTTGGGGAAGTTCTTTCGGGGGGAAGATGGCGGGAAAAGGAATGTAGGCGCTGACGGGCATGCAGGATAGGTACACACTTAGGTATACACATAGGTAGACACATAGGCGTGTGCCCACGCGGGGGTATTAAATGATCAATCGGGGGAGTTCCCCAGATGTGCCGCTTCAGACGAGCTCTCTCAAAAGATTCCTTATGCATATAAAGCAGCATATACAGGGCTGCACACAGCAGAAGACACAGCATGAGACACAGCAGCAGACACAATGGCAGACACAGACTCGGACGCAAACGCACGTGTGTATGCCTCCCAACGCGCGCCGAACGTTCTTACATTTTCATTGTGGGTGTACTTTTTCACCGCAAAGTGTAGGTAGATGTCGCTGGAAGACAGAATGGGGTATATGGTCATCCTTTTCGAGTGGGGCATAGATAAAATCTCCCTTTGTGTTTTTTCCTTTTTTACGAAACTTTTTAGTTTTCCATTAGCGTCATTTAAGTTAACCAAGAATTCGAAGTTGGTCTTTGTCATGTTGCTCTGTAGGACTCTGCGATGTGTGTGCGTGGAAGGGAGGGTTCACAAATAGTCCTTCATATAGGTACGCATGTATACAGGCGCGTGTTGTGGCTAAAAAGATACGCGCGCTACTCGAGCAGGAGCAAAATGTGCTATCTACCACATGGCCTATTTATTGCATTTTTTTGGAGTGCATTATTTTTGCATTTCCTTTTTTTTATACGCGATCAGGTTCCCATTTGGGTTTGTGACTCTCGTCGTGTTGTCTGTGTGTAATTTGCTCCCCATTCCTGTTTCCACTTCTCGTGTTAACGGTTACGCGCTTGCATCGTAGTTCCCTCAGCGCGGTGTTAATGTGGTTGTGGGAAGCTAAGTGATCGGCTTTTGTGCTTTTTTTTTGGCGCTTTGCCAATTTTTTTTTTCCCCTCCGCGTGTTTCATTATTTTCTCCTTTTCATTTTTCGTTTTTTTTCCTTCTCGGTCACTTTTCGGTCTTACTGGGCTATGGCCTTCATGGCCGCTATGTGCATCTCATCCTTGTCTTCAAAGTAGTGCCTTTTGAACGCGCGCACGACTGCGTGGGGGTGAGAAATAATTAGACGCATAAAATGCTATGTTGTTTTAGGGGCAATAAGGATGGTTTGAAGGATGGCGTGTAAAACGTATGTTACGTAGAATCTTCCGTTCTAAAAATAGAACTGTTGACCGCACGAACAAGCCATATGTTGTAAAAGAAAAAAAAAGTGTCAACGTCTAACCACAACAGGTACATGTACATACCTTCATGCTCCTCAGGCGTGTCGCCTTCCTCATTCGACTGTTCACAATGCTCCATTGTAAAAGCAGTTATTTGGTTTTCACAAAAGGGGGAGGACAAAAATCAATTCCGGATGAACTCCTCTTTTGTGAAAATATTCGTAATTCGCTTGTATTTCATATTTAGCTAAGATATTATCTTTTATCTTTTTTTTTTTTTTTTTTTGAGCTGTGGAGGTACTTTTTTGGCACTTGGAACGGGGAAGAAGCGCTTATGCTTCGTTTGGCTGGTTAGTTTTGCGAGTTTTCAATTTTGCGCAGTTTTCCTTTTTGTGAAGTTTTCCTTTTTGTGAAGTTTTCATTTTTGTGAAAGTGACGAACGGAATTATGAACCTTTTCAGGTAGCTTTTAAAACTTGGATGGGATACAGCAAAAAACGTGTTAAAAAAAAAAATACATACATAGGAGAGAGAAACCGGAATTGCCATGTGAACATATACAAATATGACGCTCTACGAAAGGTGAACTTTCTCTTCGAGCAGCCTTGGTCAATTTTAATCTTTCTGCCATTTACCAATTCGCAGTTTGAAGGATGACGATCTTTTTTTTCCTTCCCTGTCTGTTTGTGTTTTTCGCCAAAAGGGGTGTTTCACAATGCTGTTACACAACGCTTGAGGAATGTACAAAGAGGAGCGCAAAAGAGTTGCAATTTGACCCAGATGGCTTAGCGTGAAAAATATGCAACGCAAATTGGTAAGGTTTAGCCATTTTTAAAAATGAGAAGAATGACAAGCGCTTCTTTTTTCTCACTTATTCCTTTTAATTGCATCGTGGGGATAAAAAAAAAAAAAAAGTCATAAGAAGTGACCCCCCTTGTGTATAGCTTTCCAGCCCCACTTAAAGACACAACAGTTTTTGTATTTTCCCCATTTAGGGGCAAACGAAATTGTCTTTTATTTTTTTCTTTTTTTCATGAAATAGTAGTACATTTTTATTTACGACGTGAAATCCTTTTGGTGTCTTCGAAGAAAGGGTGAAAATAAAAAGGGGAAAAATAAATCAAATAAAGGGGGCCAAATGTGCCCATTAAAGGGGGGAAAAGTTTTTAAGCAAAAATGACTTCTCCTTTTTTGGGAAAAATTCGGGTGCCATTTAGCCGTAGTCAAATTGCACACACTGCGGTCGCTTTACATCTCATGTAAATAAACTGACCTCAAGGCGTCCTTCCATTTGACCGACTCTCCGGAAACAGGCCACCTCAGGTGCCGGGTTGTTTCATTATCGAAATGGAAACAAAATAATGTCTCTGGTTTATCTTAAAGGGGTGATAGTGGTACCAGTACCCCCACAAAGGAAAAAAAAAAAGAAAAAGAAAAAAAATGAACGTGCAATGAATAGCAACCCAAATTTTTGATCTAAAAAAAATAAAATAAAATAAAAGAACAGGCTTTTCGAACGGTTGGGAGAATGTAGCGCCCACGGGATTCGCAGCAAAGGGGTAACCAAATGGGGGGCTTCTCTCTCCCCTTTGAACTACCCACAAAAAAGAGACGGGTGTTTACGTGCGATAGGATGCTATCGCCGAGGCACCCCACCTATAGTAGGTCCACCCACATTAGCACACACATCTTGCAACGAAGTGTGTCCTCAAAGTTTCACTAAAAAAAGAGTGATATGCACAGGAGGACCATCAACACATGGTCACAAAAAAATATAGAACTGATTTTAACTCCACTTGGGGTTAATGAGTGCGCTTCTTTTTTCTGGGAAAATACTGGGGGGTGGTCTTCCGTTGATTTGGGTGGGATTTCCTTGGCAAGGCCACGATGGGTAGTACATCGTCCACATCGCAACCTCTTCACCGCCACTTCTTCACCTCGCGTCAGAACTGCTCGAGGGTGGTCCCCATCCGGAGATCGCGAGAAAGGCACGTCTCCTCGTCCGTGTCGGAGTTATCGGGGGACACAGCGTGTGTCGTTTGGTATGTGACGTAGGGATTAGGCAAACAGGGGGTCTTCTGTACATCCTTGGGGGGTTCGTTGAAAACGGGGAAAAGGTATAAAAAGAGGATGGGGATGACATTCGTGAGGCAGCAAATGATTATCATGAGGGGAAGATTTTTAAAATTTCTAGAAGTAATATGAAGCCCATAAGTTAGGAAAGATGAAAGGAAGGAACTAGTAATGACGGCCAAATTGTTGGCAGATAAAAAGAGAGAATAAATGGTGGACTCGAAACCTTTAGGAATAATACGTGAGCATTTGACTAAAATAGGCATCGTTTGAAACTCCGCAATGAATTCTATCAGGACAGTGTCCGTAATGATAAATAGACTGTTGGGAAGGTAGAGAAACAGGTTCAGCTTCTTTACAACAATTAGAGGTAGCAAACAGAGCGGAGTTATAATAATTGTGGAGTAAAGAATCAATTTCGCCACGTCGATTGTACTGAATAGAAACATATAGGATAGAATGGCTAGTAAGCTAGCCAAAGATTGAAACATAGCCATTTTCCCCAATAAATCAGGACTGAAATTTAATTCATTCGTCATATAAAAAAATAAAGTGCTTCCACATGATGGCATAGACATGAGGAGGAAGATAAAAATGAGAAAATTTTTAACGTGTGGGATTTTCAGCATGTCATAGATGCACTTTACTTGATCCTTCATAGAACATTTTTTGTAAGTCCTTTTTTCCTTCGTGAAAAAGGAAGATGCTAATACAAGGAGAGGTAGAAAAGCCCCAATAAGAAATATATGCTGCTTGGTCATCACTGATAGGAGGTACCCAGATAGGTAGGACATTATTGCAAAGCTTAATTTTCTGAATCCAAAGAAGACGGACACATTCTGGGCTGAGCATTTCACTGTGCCCTTTCGGCTAGAAGTGACCACTTGTGCTTCTCCTATGACGTTACATAGGGAACTCCCAAAGAAGTATAGCATTAGAAGACCCACTGTCACGGTAATGTTCGTGTGTTTTATCGACCCCAACGCGAGCAGTGAGAGGATGCATAGCATGGACCCAACGAACAGGTAGTACTTTCTTCGGAAACCCCAGATGGGGAAGCTGTCCGAGATGATTGCCCAGAGGAGCTTGATAGACCAGGGGAGCTTTATAAGGCTCAGGATCACGCTGAGGGTTGCTGCGTGGGAGTGAAGTGGAAGGTGAGGTGAAGTGGAAGGGGACGCTGTCAACAGACACTATGCTCATGTGGGGGTCTCTCCAGAAGGTCTCCTCAAATCAGCACGCGGTCTTTATTTGTGAACCATTGGCTGATTATCGCACACGTGTGTAGGCGTCCCATCACACATATGGATATAATACAAAATGGTGTGTAGAGAGAAATGTGCCCACGAATTGGCATGCGCATGCACCTACCCGGGTGCACCTTGTAGTTGTCCTTGAAGAGATACAAAATGGAGAGGTTGCAGAGAACCTCGACTCCCTGCAGCATGGCTGGGTGGAAGGGGAGAAAGGTTTGGGGGGTGTATCACGGGAGGAGTGATTGGAATGTGTATCAGGGGAGAAGCGATTGGAGTGTGTATCAGGGGAGCAACAAGTGGAGTGTTTATCAGAGCTGCAATTGGGGTGTGTGTCAGGGGAGCGTTAAGGGGGCGGGAAGATGGCCCCTTTAAGAAAGCGGAACGTGCAACTAGGGCGCCCTGGGGGCATGGGACAGCAGTGCCTGACAAACCTATAAGACTTGAGGAGACTTTGTTGTATATGGAGTCGTCCTCTGGATCCTCTTCATCGTTTATAATTTTTTCGATCAAGTAGCTGTTCTCCGTGAGGGAGCCGGAGGACTCAACTGAAGGGGGGGGCGATGAGAAATATGGCAGCTTTGCAGTTTGGCAATTTCGCAGCTTCGGGAGGGGGCACCCGATGGGGCAGTCCACACGCGCACACATATATATAGACGCGTCCTCGTGTTCGGACGTACTCGTTAAGGTGCTACAAGTTTCGTAGCTTGTGTGCTTTTTCATCGTGCGAAGAATGAGCAGGTGGAAGGAACAGTGTTCTATCTCGAGGGCAATTGGGCTGATGTTTTCCCAACAAATCCTTGCAACAAGGCGTTTTTAGCGGAGGAAGTAAATACAACCATTCATCATAAGGTTAAAATGGAAGCGACTGCGCGGAGTGACTTTAATGACGTAACAAAAAAGGGGAACATAACAGCACGGTGAAGAAACACACAAAAAAAGGTGTCCTCCAAATTGGTGACTAATGAGGAGTGTTTAAGATTCGACTGGAAGGACAGGTTCTGTGGTGCAGGTGTTGCGTCGAGCTGAGAAGACAACGCTTCACGGATGCAGCATTGAGATGACCCGTTGGAAAATAAAAAAGGAGCAACGCCGATAAAAGAAGATAGAAAAAAAAAAAATATACGACCTGTAAATTTACATATGTGTATATGCAGATGTGTACCCTCACCCGTGTGGCGGTCTTTAATTTTCTCAATGCGGGGAATCCAACGCAGTGGAAGAATAAGCAGCGGGGAAAAGAAACACTAACGTAGCGGATAACAAAGTGGAATAAAATTTTTCCTGATTGTCCAATCGATGGGAGGAGGTGTGTGTGTCACGGAAGGGACCAGTTATTAAGCGATGAAGCCTCAGTTGGATGAAATACGAAGGGACAATTCGCGAAAATGAAAATTTTTTAAGTAGCAAAGGTTTTCCTGTCGAACTGATCAGTGTAAACAGAAATGCACACAGCACACGAAGTGCAAGGGCGGAATGTGTGATGTTTCCAGTAAAGCAATTTTTTTTTTCTTCCCGCCGTAGGTAAATTTAAAATGTGCAAGTTGTTATGAATAAGTGGGGACAAATTGGACCTTTTTGCAAACATCATTTTGGTTCTTCCTTTTTTTTTTTCTTTTTTTCCTAAATGAAGATACTAAATGGGAAATGTATTCCCCTGTTGAGTGACAAAAAAGGGGGGGAGCAAAAAGCAATTTGTAAAAACTACCCCATCCATTAATCAGAAAAAAAAAAAAAAAATGTGCAAATTGGGAAGGTGCATATCTTCCTCCTGCTTTACCGTCTGCATCCTGACCCCCTCTATTGGTTTGCGGGACGGCAGCTACAAAGTTGATTTGCTTCTTCGTTCGTTAAGAACGTTTGGGGGGATCAACACAGTGTAGACGTTCGAAATGGTGATCGTTAGGCTGGGTCGTGCTGTGGCATGCTTCGCGATGCTTCACCCAGCTGTGCTGTTTTTTTCCCCCCCCCAAGTGTGGAAACTCCTTCGAATGGCGAAGCCGGGATAGGGGCAACCAAAGTTGCACGCACGCCACATGGACTCTGTTGTCTTCTTCATTTTCCCCTTTTACAAAATTGGCGAAATGGCCCACATCCCATTCTTCACATGTGGCTTGAGGAGGTATGTGAGAAGGTTTTCCTTGACAGGGGGAAGAGGCGTCTTGGCGTCACTAGAGTGTGACCAAAATTGTTTCCACGTATAATGTGTGCGCTTGGGGGGGGTGACGAGGAGGAAAAAATCATCGAAGGAAAGGAACATTTTCTCCGCTCACCAATGTAGAAGTGTCTAATTGTGTGGTGGGTGCATAGATGTGTGTACACATGTAGACATGATTGTATGGCCTCTTTTCATAAGGGCGACCTCTGAAGGGAGCGGGGCGGAAGGCTGTTCCCATGGGGAAAAGGACTTACCTTTCTGAGGGGAGTAGCAAAATTGGGGAATGCAAATGGGGGGGAAAAAATTATCCCTCAAGGAGGGGCAATCTTCCGCGTCGGTATGCTGCTGTGCGGAATGTATATGTGGAACCTCTTTCGCGAAAAAAAAAAAAAAAATCTGCATTTGCGCACGCGGCGCAGCGCATTTCAGCCCAGGAAGACAAAGGTGTTGAAACGAAGCGAAAGGCCAGTTCCATTTCAAAGCAACGTTTTGTGTCACCTTGTTGTGCGAGAGTGCAAGGGGGGAGACCCTTTTTCTCGTATGCCCTCTTTTGCGAAACATCCACAATGATGAAAAAGGAGAAAGCGAAAAAAGGAAGCAGCGATGTTGTGAAAAAGGGGAAAGGGAAGGTGGGTAATCCACTGGGCCATTCGGCAAAGGAGGATAACAATGGATATGCAGCCACGAGAGAGATCCCCCTGGAGGGGGAAATATCCTCGATTGGGGATATCCCGAAAAGGGAAACCAGCAACATGAGTGTGGAAGGGGATCCCGCCCCCCAAACGGTAAGTACCCCTGCCAATGGAGAATCCACTTCGGAGGGGGGGAAGCAGATCCTCGGAGAAAGCCCAGAATACCACAGATATTACGAATACGACAAATACGACGAATCCTACGAAGCAGAAACATTGCGGGGGGAAGAGGAAGAGGACATGAGCGACATATCGACGGACGAAATGCTGAGCGGCATGGAAAGTGACACGGACATGTCGGAGGAAATAAAGCAGTTTACCTCAGAAGGAAAACTCATTTATAAGCATTTTTATAATGACGAGATCAGTGCGTTGTCGCAGGAAATACAAGAGAAGGAAAAGATGCTGGAAGAAGTTAATAAGACAGTATGGAACTTAAAAAATAGATTCCTCAAATTGGAAAAACACATCAAAAGCAAAAAGAAGGCAATGACAAAAAAAAAGAAAATAGTGGAGGAGAAGAAAAAAACCCAAGAAGAAGAAAGTGGAGCTTGTCTAAATATCCAAGCGAAGAATCAGTTTTTAAGAAAACAAAATGAGAAGCTAAAATATGAGAGAGAGAAAAACAATGAAAAGATCATAAAGACACAAAACGACTTGATAGAGTGTGATAACAGCATAGAAGAAATGAAAGAAAAATTAATCGACAAGGAAAAGGAACTGAAAGAATGGACTCTCCAGATTGAGAAGCTCCAAAAGGAAGAATTCGAAGTGGAGAAGTTCGCCCTGTCCCAAGACAAGGAAATTGAAAATTTGAGCTACAAATTGGAGAAGCTAAATCTGGAGAGAGTAGAACAGGAAAGAAAAGTCAACACAATGAAGACAAAGAATATGCAGCTACACATGGAGTTACAAGCAAAGATGAAAGAAAATGAACAAATGGAAGAAGAAAGAAAAAAACTTCGAACCAAGTGGAAGTGTGTTGTGGATACTATAAATAACAGAGATCAGACGATTTTCAAATTTGAAGAGGAGTTCATCAAATATACAAAGAAAAGAGAAAAACTGACGCATAAATGTAAGGGGATAAATGAACACATCGAAACGCAGAAGGGAAAGAATCACCAACTCAGTGACCAACTAAAAAGGGAAGAAACGAACTTAAACAGAATGAAGAAAGAAGAGAGAAAAGTTCAAGAAGAACTGAAGAAGGCACATGAAGAGAGGAATATCCTTCTCAAAGATTTGGAATGCGAAAAAATCACAGCCAGGGAAAAACTAGAAGAGAAAAATAACCTCCAAGTTAGCCTAACCGAGCTGGGAAAGACACTACATAAGCTAGTCCAATCATTTGAAGAGTCCAGGAGAGAATACACCAAGGAGGAACTAAACAGCGTAGAGAAGAACCAACTTATCAAGTCAAGTGAGCAGATACTAATGGAACAGAATGGAAAGCTAACCAAGCTGAATGGAAAAATAAAAATGCTGGATGAAGAAAAATTTAAATTGCAGGAAAATTTACAGAAAAGCAAAAACGAATACAGCATCTTGGAAGCAGATATGGTTGGGACACAAATAAAAATTAAGCAAATGAAAAGTAACATAAAAAAGATGGAACAAGAATTGGAAAGGCAAAAGGAGATTCTCTACAATTTTGATTTCCAAACACAGGTACTAACGAAGAAACTTAATGTCGCTTCCGGGATTAGCACCTTTGAAAAAAAAAAAAAAAGTCAGAAAAAAATAGACACTCTGGAAAAGGAGTTCACCAGGTATGAAGAAATATACAACACCCTTAACAACGAAATGAAACGGATCAGTGTGGAGCTGAAGAATATAAAAACTCAGCAGATGTGCATGAAGGAAGAGAAGGGAAACATTTTGCACGATACAGAAAAACTGGAGCTTGAAATTAAATCCCTAGAAAACACCGTCATTGCCCAAAATAAAGAAAAAGAAAATGTCATGCTTATCGAAATGAACCTAAAAATCGAGTTAGACAAAATGAAGGAAATTTTTTCCAACAATTTAAATAGCTTAAATCTTTTGAAAAGAGAAAAAAAAGAAAATGTCCAAAATGAAAAGCTAAACGAACAAGACATTAATGCACACGTCGACTCGCTCAAAGTCATCGTAAAAAATCTGAGCGACGAATTGCATAAGCTAAATCTGCAAGTGCATGACAAAAAAAGTAGGTGCAACAATTTGGAGCTCAAGTTGGACGCTATAAATGTCCGCTACGGGGAGGAGGAGCAGCATCAGAGGCGGGATCAGCAGCAGCGGGAGAAGGACGAGGCTAGCCGACCCGATCAGCCCAACCAACCCGACGCTCAAGACAACAAACACACTCACTACAAAATAAAAACAGAAGAAGACATTTCCAAATTGAAGCAGGAGATAGGGACTCTAGATTCACATATCGAAAAAGAAGACCAGCAGGTGGAGAAGTTCCAGAAGACGCTGAACGAGATCATTCAGACAAACAAAGCCTTCAGCGATAACATAAAATGCATCGACCCGCAGTACAAAGATCTTTTAAAAAAAAAAAACAAATTAAACAAAAAGTGCAACCAAATTAAGGAGGACATTGCCTCCATAGAGAAGGACATAAGTCAGTACAAAAAAAAAATCAACGGCGTGGAAAACGAGCTGAAGTGTGTCCTCACGGATGCCAAAAGTGTGGAAGATAAAGTCACCGCTTTGAGGGAAAATAGCCGTAAAATGGAAGGAACCATTAACGACATCTTCGTCAAAATCGAGAGGGTCTCCAATCAGCTGCGCGCCATCGTCGGCACCAAGAAGAAGCCGATGAGCAGTCAGTTGGACGAGGCCCGGAGCGACGACGATGGGAAGGATGTTCCAACGGGCGGAAGCGCAAACCACGGCGCCGAGCAAGTCCCACTGGAAAAGCGAGTCTTCAAGCAAATACAAATGGAGTCCCTAAAGGAGA